CGTGCTCAGTGTATGTAACGGCATCACGGATCACATTCTCCAGGAACACCTTCAACACTCCGCGGGTCTCTTCATAGATCAGACCAGAGATACGCTTGACTCCGCCACGGCGAGCGAGACGACGGATGGCGGGTTTGGTGATTCCCTGGATGTTATCACGCAGAACTTTACGGTGACGCTTAGCGCCTCCTTTTCCCAGTCCTTTACCGCCTTTGCCTCTTCCAGACATGATCACAGTAATCGCAAACTGTATAATACCACATCAACTGCACACAAGCGACTTTTACAATTATCTATAGGACCTAGTTGAAACCAGTGTAGGCGGTGCTTCACAAAGTCACGTGTCTTTAGGAGAGCCCGAAAAGCGGTTAGGCCACGTTTACTGGCGACAATTCAAACAATGAAAGGTAGATTATTTACATTTAGTCAACTTTTCTGGTCAAGCGTGAACACCTAATAATGTCAGTAATGTATTTAAAATGAATACGCCGACCAAACAGAAGGATTTTAACAGCTGAAAATACAAACACAAAGTACGGCGTGTGGACAAATTGCCCAATACTGCAGTTTTCTACAACTGTAGGGTATATTAAATTATAAAGTGTCCTTCAATTTACTGTAGTTAATTTTTAAAGGGCATGTTTTAGTCCAAGAGAAAAAGGACATGTACACTGCACAGGTTGAGCCCTATCTGTGCACATGCCTGGCTACTTGACACAAGACATCACAATTTAGATGGATTGTCCCGAAGTCTAATAGTTTATTAAATGTTCAGTTAAACATCAACAGAAAATAAAATGGCTGAATGGAGCATATACTAACCTAGGGGAGCGCAGGGCACAAAGTAATGCAGGGTTAAATGTAACAGAGTTTTAAGGTATTTACTCAGGGTGAACCATGGACTGCTTCCAAGGTTTTCACCAGTGTCGGCAGATGTCTTCCCAGGGGCGTTGCGAGGGGGGGGCTTTGGGGGCTTAAGCCCCTGATGTATTGTCAAAAGCCCCTGATCTCTTGGAATATATTGCACTTAAATAAAAATATGTTGTATAACATTTATTTTGTTATCTAAGTACTGAAAATGACCACATACATCACGAACATTCCACTTAACGCAGCGTTTGTGTTAGGTAATTAAATCGTCAGCTGTTCAGCAGTACCTGTTTCTACCGGCAGGTGGGAGTGGCTCTGTTGTCACATGGTGTTAAAAAAAATCCCGCCACTGCACTTCATTCATTCATTATTTTGAGGAGCTGAAGCTAATGAGGTAATAATACAACTCTTTCGCGAAACTGAATAGTTTTAACTATGAAACTTGTTTCCCCAGTATAAAATGTGTGTAGTTCTGGTGATTTTAAAATAACTATAATCAGTAAAATGGGCATCATATCAATGTAAATACATGCGAGTAAGTACAAAAAAACGTAAATTGTTCTAGCTTTCTAGATATAATATATATATGAGATAGCAAGTCACATATTTCTGTAATAGTTAAATCACAGTGAGTTTATTCATCTAGCTTATTGTTATATAGCTATATTCTAGTGTAACATGCTATGTCAATTTGCATCAAATTATAAATCGACTTTCTTATGAAAATACATAAAATGGTTGGAAGAGCACATACAGTTGAAGTCTGAATTATTAGCCCCCGTTTATTTTTTTCCCCAAATTCTGTTTAATGGAGAGAAATTTGTTTTCAGCACATTTCTAATCATAATAGTTTTAATAACTCAACTCTAATAACTGATTTATTTTATCTTTGCCATGATTACAGTCATATTTGACAAGACATTTTTAAAAACACTTCTATACAGCTTAAAGTGACATTTAAAGGCTTTAAAGGCAGGTTAGGGTAATTAGGCAAGTTATTGTATAACGATGGTTTGTTCTGTAGACTATCGAAAAAAATATAGCTTAAAAGGGCTAATAATTTTGACCCTAAAATGTTTTTTTTATGTAAAACTGCTTTTATTCTAGCTGAAATAAATCAAATAAGACTTTCTTCAAAAGGAAAATATTATCAGACATAGGCTACAGTGAAAATTTCCTTGCTCTGTTAAACATAATTTGGGAAATATTTAAAAAAGAAAATAAAATTCAAAGGAGGGCTAATAATTCAACTGTATAAAACATTTATTGTTGCAGTCGTGTAAATGATCAGTTAAAGCCTTTTTATTTTTATTCAGATCTTATTTTCATTCTACTACAGCAACAGCTGGTTGCCTTCATCCATATTAGGGATTTCCTAGAATGTTCTACTTTTGTGAGGCATATATGGAATTTCTGCTCAAGTATGATTAAAACAGGCATTACATGCATTTAAAGTGCTACAATGCCCACATCACCCTATTTTGAGGAAAACTGAAAAAAAATTCCCTGAAGAAATTTAAAGTAAACATATTTCTAGCATATAGATCTTTATTTTTATTTTTTGTAGCCTACTACTTTTGATAGAATTGTTATTATATAAAAAAAATAGTAGCCTATTGAATATCAATATTTTGCAAGGTATTGAATTTAGAAATTCCATTATCTTGACAACACTACACCTCAGTTAATCACTCTGTCCAAATGAACATGTTTGTAGCTTTGTATCACATTGGATAACAACTCACACTATAAAATAATTCATATTTTCAGATTTGAAGACATGCAGAAATTTACATTTTCAAAAAACAAACAGAAAGTTCAAATCAGGAGGAGATAGGAGGCTCAAGAGGATTGGTATGGCTCATAACAGACTATTAAATGAGAAGTGGGTTAATTTATCAATGTTTTTTTTCCTATTTGGATTTTACAAGTCTTAAAAACCCCTTATTTATTATTAACCATTTTTAATCCTGTTAATAAGATTAGAGTAGGTATATTAGTTTGGTAAATTAAAACTTCTTTTTTTATATAAATTTTTTATTTTGGGTGGGGTGGGGCAATTTCTTTGGGGCTAAGCCCCTTATCCCTTTCGACCCTAGCAACGCCCCTGTGTCTTCCAGCCATTTATTGTAAAAGTTTGGTGAAATTTGGATTATTTTTGCAGCATAAAAGTATTTTTTATTAAAGTCAATATTTTTTATTAAAAAAAACATTGTGAAAGTATATAAGCTAAATCTTATATTGTTGTGATTGCCGTCTTCCCTTTTGAAAGTTGTAAGAAACAGTGACTGCTAGCCTATGCTGCTAGCCAGTTTTGAAGAAAAAACGACTCCGCGTGGTTAGTTGTAACAGGGTGTTACAGTTAAGCCACACACTGTTGGACACCAATTAAACTAACACAATACATATATAATTTTTAATTTTGAGTGTAATGTTGAGAACATTTTGAATAAAATGCTAAATAGAATTTTTTTGATGGACAAAAAATATTTTATTGCTAATATTGCAAATACAAACATTGTATAATAATAATAATGGTAATAATCCAAATAGATCCAAATGTGTTTATCCAATAAATCAATAAATATACATTCTGTGCTATGTAGAATCAAAAATAAATTGAAAATATAGCTATTTGAAGTAAACTGGATTTAATTAATTGTGTGTAATCTGTCTTTTTAAGCATGTGTTACAATTAACCCCCTGTCTGTTACAACCTGCCCCGCAGGTGGGGTAAATAGTAACATTTTTACTCCTGGCACTTTTGGCAATACTGCACAGAAGCCATAGTTCCGACGATCATACTTTCAGTGCTCATTTTTAGGAGAGGCTTGTGTTTTGTTGGTAAAAAGCAAATGCACGAAAAAGCATGAGTCAGTGATTATCTGGAAAAACATACCTTGGAATGACTGATCAAATTCATTCATGTATTCCAGAAAGCCATGTAATAAACCACAGAATATTATAGATTACTGTAGTAAAAACTAAAGTTTACTACATTACTTGGCTTAAAGTATGCTGTAATATTAACCAAGTGTTGAATTAATACTAAAGTATCTGAAGTATAATGCACTTTAATTTAAAATAATTCAAAGCTGCTATGGTATTTACTGAACAATACTGTAGCATCTTTTACTTTTATTCAAGAATCTTTTGTGTGACTGCATTCACCTAAAGTGTGTAAGCAGAACCCAACAGCCACCTCTATCTGGTAGATGAATTCTTCCTCATAATTCTCAACAAGTAAAATATGCTTATTCCGTTGACTCGCGGTAAAAAAAAAATGTTATGAAGGTTTAGGAGACAATGCAGTTAGCTAAATCTGCCTACATCAAACCGCACTATATTAACAGTGAAGTTTTCACCCATTAAAAAAAACAGCATCTTTTCTAGACACATTGAGGGGGCTCTTAAAAGAGCCTTTGGGTTTTAATGCGTCACCAGTGGGTTTAAGCGCGCTCTCCGCGGATGCGGCGGGCCAGCTGGATGTCTTTGGGCATGATGGTGACCCTCTTAGCGTGGATGGCGCACAGGTTTGTGTCCTCAAACAGACCCACCAGGTAAGCCTCGCTGGCCTCCTGCAGAGCCATGACGGCGGAGCTCTGGAAACGCAGATCAGTCTTGAAATCTTGAGCGATTTCTCTCACCAGACGCTGAAAGGGCAGTTTACGGATCAGCAGCTCAGTAGACTTCTGATAACGGCGGATCTCTCTCAGAGCCACGGTACCAGGCCTGTAACGATGAGGCTTCTTGACGCCGCCGGTTGCTGGTGCGCTTTTACGGGCAGCTTTAGTGGCGAGCTGCTTCCTCGGAGCCTTTCCTCCGGTGGATTTACGGGCGGTCTGCTTGGTTCTTGCCATTGTGACTAAACTTCTAGATAGAGCTCTAGTAGAATGATGTTCACTGTACGCAGACTCAGCTTTTTTATAGGAAGGCAGTGGTTGTTGAGGCGGTTGATTGGCTGTTGCATTTACGTCGTAAACACACGTAGTGTGACGTGAACATTTTGACCAATGGCAGTGCTTTTTTTTTTTTTTTTTTAACAGACTGACAGCCAACTGCCTTTCCCGCTCAAAAAAAAGCTTATTTAGGATACGTTCTTATTGCATGGAAAGTAATGGAGAAACTAGACATTTTATTTTTAATTTGTAGATTTGTTTGTTTAACTTTATGTTCAATCCTTTGCATTTTTTTCCGTTTAGAGTAGAATAAGCCAACCGTAATTTGTGATTTTCATGTGAGTAAATGCTTCAAGTGGAAATATGGACAAAAATAAGCTTTAAGCGAGCGTCATACGTTTGTGCTAAACCTGTGCGCCGACCTGTGTTCTACTTTAGGCCTTTGAGTAAATTGATTCACGTGGATGAAACAAAACTGCAAATAACAAAGGTATTCCTCATCCGGAACGAAAGGGATGCTTTCGAACACATACGTTACGTTTCCTGCCCTTTTCTTTATTCTGGTGGTTTATTTAGTTACTATTCATGATTAGTTGTTTGAGGCTTCTGAAATAATGCTCTTCACTGTTATGTGAGTGGCTCTTAAAAGAGCCGTTTGGTTTTTGGAAGACTCGAGCAGATATAGGCGATTACTTCTTCTTGGGAGCCGCCTTTTTAGGCTTCGCCGCCTTAGGTTTGGCCGTTTTGGGCTTGACTGCCTTCACCTTCTTGGGGCTCTTGGCTGCTTTCTTGGCAGCTGCTGGTTTCTTTGCCTTCTTGGGGCTCTTGGTGGCCTTCTTGGCAGCTGCTGGCTTAGCTTTCTTTGGGCTCTTTGTCGCCTTCTTCACAGATGTGGCCGCCGGTTTCTTCGCCTTCTTGGGAGATTTCTTAGCGGCGGGTTTCTTAGCAGCCGGCTTCTTGGCTTTCGCGGCGGTTTTCTTGGCTGCCTTCTTGGGCTCGGCTTGCTTCTTGTTGAGCTTGAATGAACCGGAGGCGCCTGTGCCTTTGGTCTGGGCCAGAGTGCCGTTGGTCACCAAGGCCTTGACGGCGGTTTTGACGCGGGAGTTGTTCTTCTCCACATCATATCCGCCGGCGGAGAGAGCCTTCTTCAGGGCTGCGAGAGACACGCCGTTTCTCTCCTTGGAGGCCGTCACAGTCTTGACGATGAGGTCGCGGACATTTGGGCCCGTTTTCTTGGGCTTGGACGCCGCTTTCTTCTTAGGAGCTTTTGCCGGCGTGGCAGCGGGAGCTGGAGCAGTTTCAGCCATTTCTCAGTGGAAGAACCTTCACCTACAACTAGCAGTGAATAATGAAGCTCTGCTGGGCGGCGCTGTGAACTTAACTACCACATGAGAACCGTGTAGACTCAACCACAGCTCCTCAGACAATCGCCTCGACACAAAACTTGTGCTTTCTCCGTTTAAACAAAGACTAAAAAAAGTGCAATAAAATGTTTTACAGCAGACTAGAAATACCTTATTGATATGAAGAGGGTCAAGGCTTTTCCGTGGAATTCAAATAGGACACGCCCTGAATTTTTTTCTAGATTTATGGAGTCATTTATCTTCTGTTCATTCACTGAAGTTGTTTTACTACACATACGGCCTGTGGAAAAAATATAACAAGATGTGCAGCAAGAGTTATTTGTGTGTTTTTTTTTTTGTCTTTTTCTAACATAAGACCCTTTTTATCATTTATATTTTGTTTGTTTGTTTGTTTGCACTTTATTAATCCAAAAGAAAAATGCAAACCGGAGCTCATCATACAATAAAATAAATAAAATATAATGGATTATATATAAGAAAATGCAAATCCTACGAAATACAAAATCCGTAAATAACAATGCAGTCATCAGAAGTTTATTATTCAGTTTTTGTTGCAACATAAAACTAATAGAAACATGATTAATATGCCTTGTCTATAATGTCTGCTGTCCAGAGATGCAATTAATCCTGTGTCATGAAAATGTTTAGACAAAGTAAGCACTGTCAATACTGTCTATGGGGGTAAAAGTTCAACCTTAGGGGTGACACAGTGGTTAGCACTGTCGCCTCACAGCAAGAAGGTCGCAGGTTCGAGTCTCGGCTAGGTCAGTTGGCATTTCTGTGTGGAGTTTGCATGTTCTCCCTGTGTTGGGGGCTCCAGTTTTCACAGTTCAAAGACATGCGGTATAGATGCATTGAATAAACTAAATTGGCCGTAGTCTATGAGAGTGAATGTGCTAGTGGGTGTTTCCCAGTAATGGGTTGCAGTTAGAAGGTCATCCTCTCTAGAACAAATGCTGATAAAGTCTTCGGTCCTTTCCACTGTGTCGACTGCTGATGAATAAAGGGTCTAAGCCGAAGGAAAGTGAATGAAAAGTTTAACCTTGGCTTTCAAGGAAGATATTAATTGGCTTTTCATAAATAAGCTACTCAAGTTTGAAATAAACATATTCACAATACATATTCACAACCTTAAATACACTATCGTTGTCAGAAAATACTCAGAAGTAATTGCAGTATTTTAGCATTTCATAAATAATTTTAAAACAAAGTTATTTATTTGAAAATGCTTTATTTAATTTACATTGTAACGGATAAACATCACATGTTTTTGTAAATGTTCATTTTGGTTCTTTGTCATGTGAAAAACAGAGATTGTAATGGCACTAGGCGCCACTAGGGTGCGATAACAAAATATATTTCAGCTCGTCAAAAGAGCAAGAGTTGTGTTTGGTATGGAACAGCATGCTACTAAAGCTACCAATGCACTCTGGTTCGGGTATTTTAAGAACAAAATTGCTGCTGCTGCTCAAATGTGAGTACTGACTAAGTGGTTATTACGTTTATTAATGTCTTTTCAATATTTTGTAGTGATTTGGCCTATGTTTATGTCGTACAGGACCTGTTTTCCTGAATGTTTCTGTCTGTTTATTTTGTGCTTCATACTTTCATTGGACTACTCTGTGATGGGTTTTCATTGAACATTATAGATGAACATCAGTAGTGTTTTCTGGAGCCAGAGACACCGACAGGTGAACTACCACATTATTCTGAGACTTGGATTAATACGGTCAGTGACTCTTTTTACTATGTCTCTATTATATTTGAGAGGATATTCAGATATTATAGTCAAACCGCCTAAATGATCTATTTTCACCTCATCATTGAAATAATTTAGAGTTTAAAACTGTTTGTTGAAAAACTGCTTAATTGTATATATTGATTGTCTTTATTTTTGTGGTGTAAACTTAAACGTGCAAAAATTATAAGGTCTATTTTCAGTATTATTGAAATGTAAATGTAATCCCCCTCAAAGTAACATCAAAAAGAGAGGAGTTACAACTAGGAATTGGTCTTAACTACAATGGTTCTAATTGTATTTCTGCCTAATTACTAAAAAAAAAAATCAACGTGACTGTTAAAAACTGTTCAAACCATACATCTGCAATCTTATACCAGAAACAGAAATGATAGCAAAAATCTGCTACTATGTGGTGGTATAGTGTGGAGGAAATATGACGTCACTTTGTAGGCTAATCGGCTGCTAGCATAAAACTAGTTTCCTCGACAAAATCCCTATAGATTTTTCCCATAGGCTTTTCGTATATTGCAAATAATAAGCTCTGTTCAAACACTGTTTATTACACTTACATGTTTTGTCCAGCTGGATAATCCTCACATGACAATACAACTTTTAGCACTTTTAGATCTTAAATGTAACTTATGAACTGTATGAACCTGCAAGTCCATCATAGATCAAGAACAACATTCAATATTTTTTTCATGTCACAAAATACAAGGAAAAGCAGCCCATACAGTCACATATCTTATACATTTAATGGAGGAGTGTAAATATTGCGTTCAGATGAAGAAAAAAAACGACAAAAAATCACTTGGTCATGTTAAAATGAGAGTTAATATGTCTGTATTTTTACACATTTATTCACACGTTTGCATTACTGAGAGCAGGAAAGAGACCGGCTACACTGGTAAGCAGTATCTTCATAATATCATTTAATTAAAATAAATGATTAACAAATGAATCTGTCTCGACAGTTTTTACAAGTGAAGGCATTATTTACACACAGTATTAACTCCCAATTAGAAAAATACTACAAACTATAAAACACTACTCATGAAAATACCTAAATAACAGACAAATCCAAATGCCAAACACAAGCGGGCTGCGCTCTAGACCAGATTAGCTCGATGACGTATAATGTGTATTATAAATAATAACACTGCCTGTAGTCCCATTTAGCAACTTGATAGCAACCATCTTTTTAAAGAAGCATGGACAAATTAAAAATTCAAGCTTGTGCTTTAACTGATGTGTTTTATGTCGTAGAACAAAACATGGAAGTATCTTGAGTTTGTGTTTGCCACGAACCTTATTTAAGCAATTTTACTGAAACCCCATTCAAAAACCCAATTGACTTAGGGATGAGGGAACCGGAACTGCTAAAATGCTAACTCGCTTCCGGGTTTTTGCATACAAATTGACGTCATAGTTCCTCCACTCTATTGCAATATAGAGCAAAAATAATTCACAGAATACTTGAAAATGAAATAATTTAAAGACAATAATTTGCAATGGCTACAACTGAATCAGTTAGAAAATAAGTGTATGAAATGTTAAAAACACTTTAATTGCACCAGCTTAAATGTAAATAAAGTTAGCTAAGAGAGGAAGAGACAAAGAACTGAGAGTAGGCCCCAGAGTCTTACAGCAATTGAGCCAGAGAATAAACTCCAGAGCAGGAAAAGGGCCGCCCGTGTTCAACCGATTTTGTATTGACCATGTGACCCAAGACTGAATACTGACACATATTATCAGAACTGTATTATCCCTATTGTAGACATTTGTAATTAAAATGTATATATTTTAGAGTCTGTACGCAAGGAGTTATTAAAATTTAATAGTAAAAGATACACTTTAAGTGTAAAGCCTTCAAACAAAACTTCCGTTAGCCATACACTGAGCGGAGCTATTTGAAAAGAACGGTTACTGAATCACTGATCACACAGAAAAAGCTCTATAGATGAAAATATGGGTGGCTCTTAGAAGAGCCTTTGGGTTGAAGTTGACTGTGCTTTACTTTGAGCTAGTGTACTTGGTGACGGCCTTTGTGCCCTCAGACACTGCGTGTTTAGCCAGTTCCCCGGGCAGCAGCAGACGGACGGCGGTCTGGATCTCTCTCGATGTGATGGTGGAGCGCTTGTTATAATGGGCGAGACGAGACGCCTCACCGGCGATGCGCTCGAAGATGTCATTGACGAAGGAGTTCATGATGCCCATCGCTTTTGAGGAGATTCCAGTATCAGGATGGACCTGCTTCAAGACTTTATACACGTAGATGGCATAGCTCTCCTTCCTGGTCCTCTTGCGCTTCTTTCCTCCCTTGCCGGCGGTTTTAGTTACCGCCTTCTTAGAGCCCTTCTTGGGTGCGGTCTTCGCTGGTTCAGGCATGTTTGCTCGAAGCAGAACTGATTCCTTTACGCAGAAACGCTGGCTATTTATTAGGCCCTTATGCAAATTTTAGAAGGAGCAATCAGCCTTTTCTGATTTGTGCATTGGCGAAATGAATGTGTGAAGCTGATTTCATTGGTCATAAAGGAGACCAGTAGGCAAGTAAATCTTCCAATTGTATGCTTTGAAACTGTAGGCCCCGCCCATGATTCGCTTCCGCATAGAGAACGGCCGTTCGTCGTTTTATTTTCCCGCTCAGAATTATATATTTTTTAAAACACAACATTCTTATGGAATGAAAAACAAACCAAATAACTGATGCTAACAGGAAATTTCTACTTTCAAGCTTCTTATTAAATCAATTATAATTCCATAGATGCTTCTGCAAACAAAAGGACATGCCTCATTTATACAGTACGCGTTATTCCAAAAATGACACTTACTGGACTAGTCTTTTTGTGTAGTTTTACACACACACACACACACACACACACACACACACAATTAGAAAACAGAATTATACGGCTGGATATTTTAAGCAGTCTAAAAATCTAATATTTATGGTAGGTAAGATATGGTTAAACATTCACGGCTAATGTAGTGTCCTTCCTGATAGATGGTCAAGACTTTAACTAATGGTTTTATTTTATTTTTTTAATCAAACACTAACGTAAAAGCTGAACAGAATAAAACAACAAGAATACATAAATACAATAGTGCATGAATTAGCTTAATGCAAACTTAGCAGCTTACTATTATATCCTAAATGCTTCCACACAAGGCTAAAACCACAATGTACACAGCTTTCTGCAAACACTAAGCTTGTCCTCTTCAGAGAGTGCTGAAGTATATTGACAATTTTCTCATGTAATGAGACTTTTTCTTCAGCAAAGTAGCGATCTCCGCTCTTTTTCGCACTTTTTGCGTGAAATTTCTCACCGGAACTAACTCAGGAGAAGTTTCATAAAAAGTTTGTCAGTATGAAGCATACACTTTAAAACAAAATACACAGTTATACACTCGAGCTCCATTCTAACCTGTTATGTTCCCTTACAAAATATATAAAAAAAAAACGGTTTATTACAGATTATAACAATAGTTAATATTCATTCAAACATAATTTTCACTTGACAAGTAGGCCTCAGTTTAAATATAAAACTGAAATCTAACTTTAAACGACACAAAAGTCTCTTTTATGACAATGTGGGTGGCTCTTAAAAGAGCCTTTTGTTTTAGGTCTGAATGTAGACGTTTAACCGCCGAATCCGTACAGAGTGCGTCCCTGCCGTTTCAGCGCGTACACCACATCCATGGCGGTCACGGTCTTCCTCTTAGCGTGCTCGGTGTAGGTTACAGCGTCGCGGATCACGTTCTCCAGGAACACCTTCAACACACCGCGAGTCTCCTCGTAAATCAGACCGGAGATACGCTTGACTCCACCACGGCGAGCGAGACGACGGATGGCGGGTTTGGTGATTCCCTGGATGTTATCACGCAGAACTTTTCGGTGACGCTTAGCGCCTCCTTTCCCCAATCCTTTACCGCCTTTGCCTCTTCCAGACATGATGTTTTTCTGCAGTCAAGCTTCAGAATGTACAGTCAAGCGACACTGAAGAAGCTTTACAGTCGCTTCGACGACCTAGTTGAAACACGCAAGGCGGAGCTAAAACGCCACAATAGGCGTGTCAATCTTCAGGTCTCTTAACTCAGATTGTAGTTTGCTTTTTAAATAATAACATTTAAAGGGGCAGTTCACTCAAAATGTCTTAGAAAATAATATTATACAAGTTATTGGCAATGGACCCTTTTTAATCATCAGCATCTTCACTCATTTTCTTTTCGGCTTTGTCAGGGTTCACCACAGCGGAATGAACCGGCAACTTATCCAGCCGATGCCTTTCCAGCCACAACCAAACACTTGGTAACACTCATATATTCTTGCATTAACACACATACTCTTTAGCTCAAACAAGTCTTCTATACCACATGTGTTTGGAATGTGGGGGAAACCAGAGCACCAGGAGGAAACCCACGCCAAAACGGGGAGAACATGCAAACTCTACACTGAGATGCCAACTGACCCAGCTGGCGCTCTAAACAGCGACCTTTTTTCTGTTAGGCGATTGTGCTCCCCACTGCGTCACCGCCCGTGACACCCCTTCACCATCAGCATCCAAAATCCTTGAAAGCTTTTAATATTTTGATTTAAAGATTTTAAAAATACACATTTATATATGCATTTATTTATATGTAACGTATTACGAAACATAAAATACTGTTTATATGAGGTGTTTGAAATGCAGTGGGGGCAAGAGAGTACATTTGACATTGTTGTGTCCTCTGTTAGCCGATATCAGTCTCACTATTTTTCCCCTTTTCTGAAAGTCTTGATAACACCATATGATAGATCATTTAGGTCTTCAGCACAAGGAGGCATCCATTTTTGCATTATTGGTCTCTAAATTTCATCAGGAAAAGCAATAGAGGATGCTTTTGTTTACTCAATCCATTGAAGATGTACAGAACTTGTCCATATTCTTTTCCCATTACAACCACAAGTCCAATTTTCAAATCCACGTGCAGACTCTAACATAATAAACAAGTAAACCAAGAGGAACAATTACACTGAAAGAGCAGAGTTCATAAAATATTTAACGTTACGCATTTTATTAAAAATATATAATTGCAGTTCAGCTTAATGCTGCTTTCTGATTCACCTAATTTAGGGGTTTCACAAAGTCCAATTAAAACCTTTTAAAGACCATGGACAAAGTTTCAGACTTACACAGAACTTTTTTTTTAGATTATATTGCTATTATTTATTTAAATGCCACATATTTTAAATAAAATGTCAAAAGAAGTTGTATGTAGACACATTTTTCAGCATAGCAAAAAAAATAATAATAATAAATAATAATAATAATAATAATTTAAAATATAATAAACTAAATGTATGTATGCACAACAGCCTGCCCAGGTGGGTGTCCTCACCATACATGGACTATAAATATACAGAGAACTTTTAAACATTATTGTGAGGATGATAAATAAACCATATGGGTAAACAGAGTTATAAACCGTTTTGTTAAAAGTTTTACTGAGATGGATTGTTGGTGATTGGATGAGTGTTGGACCGAATGGTTAACTTTACATTGAAAGGAAAATTAAAACTGGTTTATTATAATTCAAGACCTACAAGACAAAATGTCTGTTAATTTAATACTTTGAGGCCTAAATCTAAGTTTTTGAAGTAAGGCTTTAAGACTTCAATAATTTGAAGATTTGTTGCAAAAAAAATAGTCCTAAAGCATTTGAAACCCAGGAATTTTCTTTCTTTAGATTTTTGTGAAAATATTTTCCCTTCTGGTAACAATTTCATCTGAAATGTTAAAGCATGTTTATAGGTTTATTCTGAAGCTGTAAACATTGTATCAGTTGAAACTAATCTTATTTTGGTGTTCAAAATGCATTAAAACGCCAGTCTACAATTTAAAATTGACTTAAGGAAAGTGAACTAGTTCTCCCAAAAAACTATATTTACATATTTTAAATTAACACACGGGTGGCTTATAAACATGTTACAGACGTTTTAAGACCCAGCGAACACTAATTTGTGTAAAAATGGCCTTTTAAAGTGTAAGTGGGTGGTTACACTTTTTGGATAATTATAAAACCGAACCAATTTATTTTGCTTTTGGTGGCCTTCTCGATCAGATGTTCATTATTTAACATTTTAATTTGGTTTTGTGATCTTTTAAATTCATTTAACATTTAAAGTTTGATCAGCTGATGGCTGTTGTAAACGTCATGTAAACTAACTTTAGGGAGGGAATGGGATATTCAGAAAGCTTAATTATAACCCTCAAACTAAAAAAAAAAGCAGTACGGTTTAGTATTTAACATCTTATAACTTTGAGCAAAACTGTATTTGGGCATTTATTTATTCAAATGCTAGCTTGACATTGAAAATAAAATCGCTCTTTTAAGGGGGAAATGGGTGGCTCTTAAAAGAGCCTTTGGTTTAAAAACTATCTTCGCAGTTTACTTTTTGGCGGCCTTCTCGGTCTTCTTAGGCAGCAACACGGCCTGGATGTTGGGCAGCACACCGCCTTGAGCAATGGTCACTCCACCCAGAAGCTTGTTCAGCTCCTCATCATTACGCACCGCCAGCTGCAGATGTCGGGGGATAATACGGGTCTTCTTGTTGTCCCGAGCGGCGTTTCCAGCCAACTCCAGGATCTCAGCGGTCAGATACTCGAGTACAGCGGCCAGATACACTGGAGCTCCAGCACCGACGCGCTGAGCATAGTTCCCCTTGCGAAGAAGCCTGTGAACGCGACCGACTGGAAACTGCAAGCCTGCCCTGGAAGAGCGAGTCTTGGCCTTAGCGCGGGCTTTTCCTCCGGTCTTGCCTCTTCCGCTCATGTTGCTCAGTTGGTTCTCAAGGATCAACGAATACCTCTCTAAGGCGCGACAATCCGCTTTTAAAGCTAACGTACCTCTCGCCTATTGGTCAGAATGTTTCAGTTGAAAACCAATCACTGCACTTCCCTCCAAATCGCAAACCCGCGCCCTTTTTAGCATTTTTTCTGCCTTTGTTTTGTAATATATAGACGTTTAAGTTTATGGGGTAGAATAAATATTTTAAGCTAAACTTCCATTATGCAAAACTATATATAAAAAGTTTCATTAAAGTTGCAGTTATAAGCCTCTGGCAAGAAGACTTGGATAAATAGTCAAAATGAGTGGGAAAGTGTATCTACATGAAAAACACTAAATTATGCAAAAATATACAAAATAAAATGAATTAAAGCTGACAAAAACAACAGAAAAAATATAAATCTGAAATAAACGGCGTTTTATGGTTTTCGGTGGAGCTACATGAATTCAATAATCAGTGTAAGAAATCCAGCTTCCATCAAAAACCCAGAGTAGTAAAAGTAAGTTATGTTCTGGTTACTTTATTAAAAAACCTAAAGTCCAAAAATAAAAAATATATAACACAATATTGACAGTGGTCGGTGAACATTAGGAAACATATAGTTTAATCATTGTGGTCCTGCTCAACAAGGAAACAAAACATTCAGCTCATCTTCAATGAAAATTCAGAACAATAAGGTATTCAGAACAATTATAAAATTTACTGGAGAAAATGCGAAAGATCTGAGCCTTTTCTCTTTCTCCTGTTCTCCATCTCACCTGAATCTGCCAGTTATTGCACCTTTAGTTGATCTGCTAGTTCCAATGAAAAATACTCACTATTTACTGACACTAAAGTGATTACAAACCATTGAGTTTGTTTATTTTAACATAAAAATTATATTTATATTAACGCCGAAAGACCATGCAAGTCAATGTTTACAAGCATAAATAAATCGATGAGTGTTCTTTCAAGTACACAAATAACACTGCTTTTAAGATAAGCTCATTTAAAGAACGTATGGGTGGCTCTTAAAAGAGCCTTTGGGGTTGCAGAAGTCGTCTCTGCGCTTTACTTGGAGCTGGTGTACTTGGTGACGGCCTTTGTGCCCTCAGACACGGCGTGTTTAGCCAGCTCACCGGGCAGCAGCAGACGGACGGCGGTCTGGATCTCTCTCGATGTGATGGTGGAGCGCTTGTTGTAGTGAGCGAGACGGGAAGCTTCACCGGCGATGCGCTCGAAGATGTCATTAACAAATGAGTTCATGATGCCCATCGCCTTCGAGGATATTCCAGTGTCAGGATGGACCTGCTTCAACACTTTGTACACGTAGATAGCATAGCTCTCCTTCCTGGTCCTCTTACGCTTCTTTCCTCCTTTGCCGGCGGTTTTAGTCACCGCCTTTTTGGAGCCCTTCTTGGGTGCAGTCTTCGCTGGTTCAGGCATTTTGAAATAGTTCTAAATAAGCTAAACGCAGAAACACTGTGTATTTATTGGACTCTTATGTACATTTTAAAAGGAGGAACCAGCCTTTTCTGATTTGTGCATTGACGTAATGAATGTTTGACGATGATTTCATTGGTCAAAAGGGAGACCAGTATGCAAGCAAATCTACCAATTGTATGCTTTGAAACCGTAAGCCCCACCCATGCGTCACTTTCGCATAGATACAGTGGTTGGTCGTTTTATTTTTCCCGCTCAGAAATATATATATATATATATATATATATATATATATATATATATAATTAAGTTATTGATATGTATTGAAAAATAAATAACTGGTGCTAATAACAAATTGTTACAAGCAGCTCATTCAATTAAATTATATCATACAGACTTCTGTAAAAAAAGAATAGCCTCACTAATGTTTAAAGTAAGTTTTATTCCATAAATTAGTGATGCGACTAGTCTTTTGTGTAGATTTTACACAAACACACTAGAACACTAGGTTACACGGCTAGAGATTTTTAATAATTTAAAAACTATACATTGGTATTTGGTAACTAATTTCTGGTAATGTTAATGTAAACAATTACTGCAAATGTTCTACATGTACAATAATCCACTTAAACTAAAGAATTAAATAAAATGGTAATATTTTTATTATATCTGGCGATAGTATAACTATGGGCAAACAATACAAAAAGCCTCTTTTATGACAGTGTGGGTGGCTCTTAAAAGAGCCTTTGGTTTTAGAATCGGTTGTGGACGTTTAACCGCCGAATCCATACAGAGTGCGTCCCTGTCGTTTCAGCGCGTACACCACATCCATGGCGGTCACGGTCTTCCTCTTGGCGTGCTCGGTGTACGTAACAGCGTCACGGATCACGTTCTCAAGGAACACCTTCAATACTCCACGGGTCTCCTCGTAGATCAGACCGGAGATACGCTTGACTCCACCACGTCGAGCGAGACGACGGATGGCGGGTTTGGTGATTCCCTGAATGTTATCACGTAGAACTTTACGGTGACGCTTAGCGCCTCCTTTTCCCAGTCCTTTGCCGCCTTTGCCTCTTCCAGACATGATGATCTTCTACAGTCAAGTTTCTGAATGTTCAGCTTTGCGACACTGAAGAAGCTTTACAGTCGCTTAGACGACCTAGTTGAAACACGCAAGGCGGAGCTACAACGCCACAATAGGCGCGTCGATCTACAGGCCTCGTAACTCAGTGTAGTTTGCTTTAGATTCTACATTTAAAGGGACAGTTCACCCAAAAGCCTTAAAAATAATATTATACAACAGAGTTGAGTCATTTTATGAAACGGGTGCCATTTCCATTTTGCAATTTTCAAAATTGTCATTAAGTACAAACTTAAAACATAAAAAAAACTATAACTTAAAAGTTTTCTTTACCCTCCAAAACAGCTGTTTGCCCAACTCAGGCTCAAAATCCTTAATAATTGTATTGCTTTTCTTTAGGTAAGAGAGTCTCTCTTGTACCACCCATTCACGGACAATATGTTTGTTATTACAGTAGTAAAATAACAAATTGCTTTTTAATTTTAAATGTTTTCCAAGTAAAAAAATGTCTTCATTTATGCAGCTATAAATAGAAAGTCTGTAGTTTAATAAATGTTTTTGATTATTACATTTTAACTTTGAAAAATAAATTTGACATCTCGGTTGCCTCGTCGTTTTTATTAAAAAAAAAACAAATTCACTTACAACACAAATCAACCTACATTTTTAATTTAGTTCACACAGCAAGAACACCATTCAACATCAATTTATGTAACATTACATTTAATTTCCATAAACCTTAAAGAAAATGACAGTGTAATGGGGTGGTATCTGCTGTGACAGGGTTGTTCACTGTGACTGTGGTATGGACAATGTGTATTTTAACCAGTGTAAACCAATGACTGTAAAAAAACCTTTAAACAGGGTAGTTTGTAAAGTTAAAAATACATAGTTTTTATTTTGGAGTATGTAAAATTAGACCATCGAGGTAAGATGGACTGCCAAAACCAAATGGGATATTGTTTGTAACATTCTTACACATATATTTTTTATTTATTTATTTATTTATTTATTTATTTATTTATTTATTTATATTTGCTTTTTGTGCCATAACAAAGAAAACCCTCCTGCACATTCCGATCTCAACAACATTTTAAACAACTTTAGGAATAGAAAATTTTTAATTAAAAAAGTGCAAAATTAACAAATATTTAATATTTTTCCTCTTTATTAAAATTTTGTTAAATGTTTCCCCCAAACATATACAAAGTGGGTGTACTCCTTTCTGGATTGCGACCTACTTTTTTTGTTAGATCAGTTCCAGTTTTGGCTTTGGTATTTGCTACTGTATGATTCTGGTGTTGACTGTAAAGCATCCTGTAGAAACGTCATTCAAAAGAGATCTTTAGAGATTTTTTAAATATTATTTTTGCTGAGCACTAGGGGCGGTACTGTGGTGCAGTGGGTAGCATGGTCGCCTCACAGCAAGAAGGTCGCTGGTTCTAACCTTGGCTGGATCAGCTGGCATTTCTGTGTAGAGTTTGCATGTACTCCCCGTGTTGGCGTAGGTTTCCTCCGGGTGCTCAGGTTTTCCCCAAAAGTCCAAAGACCTGGTTTATGTGAATTGGGTAAGCTAAATTGTGCGTAGTGTATGTGTGTGAATGAGTATAGATGTTTCCCAAGACGGAAGGGCATCCGCAGCGTATGTACAACATATGGCGGTTTATTCTGCTGTGGTAACCCCAGATTAATAAAAGGACTAAGCCGGAAAAAAAATAAAAATTAATGAATGCTGAGCACTGTATGTCCAATAATGTTTAATCTGAACTGTGTGCTACTCTTTGAGTTTGAGTGAAGGGTAATGAGTGTATGACTAAAAATCAAGGTGTGAAGAAAATAAGGAAGTGTGTGAGAGACCAAACAGTTAAATTGAAAAGAAAATTACTGAATTATTGATTAGCCCTATATTAGAATCTTTGATTTCATACATCTTCACATTCAAATGTGATGCAGAACCATTAAATCACATCCCTTACCACCCTGTCTTAATAAAAAATGTGACATGGTGGTATGTGACAGGGTGGTAAAGTGCATCCAAAATTGCCGGAAATCTTCAGGTTCTTCACCTAGCATACATTCATTGAATCTCAAATTTACTCTTCTTTGCTTTATATATGTAAAAATAATAATACTAAGTTTACCCTATCTATTTTGCATGACAGAGTGGTTGGGTTGAGCTTGACTGACCCTGTCTAACAAGATGCCATTTAAAGCAAAAGTACATTATTTATAGATGAAACAAGTTAGTGTGACGGGGTGCCAAGTCAAACTGAGGGACGCACAAAAATCATGAAATATTCACAAAAAATATAAATTTTATAAAATAAATATATCTTATGGAAATAGAAACAAACCTATAAACATCAAAACAATAACAATTTGGGAGGAAAAGAAAGTTTTATTTGTTGATATTTTAGTCAGCGTGGACATGTGAAGTTTGTTGTGTAATTATAAAGTATTAAAAAAAGAATATTACTATTTAATAATAATAATTTTTAATATATCCTGCTTGCAAAAACTCTTGAATTAATTACTTCACGCTTCGGAAACACATTTTAGAACATTTTTTTTGCTTCATGCAGCTCATTAAATGTTAGGGACACAAATGGCACCCGTTTCATTGAATGACCCAGTTATTGGCAATGGACCCTTTTCTAAATACTGACGTGTTTAACAATCATCAGCATCTTCATTCATTTTCTTTTCAGCTTAGTCCCTTTATTAATCAGGGGTCACCACAGCGCAATGCACTGCCAATTTATCCTGCATGTTTTATATCCAGCATGTGGATTGTTTGTGATTGGATGAGTGTCAGCCCAAATGGGTTTACATAGGAAAATTTAAACGGGTTTACTATCATTTAAGAACTATGTAGAGATAGTTTACAGTTTAACCCAATGAATGACCAGTCTGGTAGATGAAGAAGAGCCGGAGTCAGAGATAAAAAAAAAAATAAATCAAGTTTACTGAAGATAGTTTGCAGTTTCATTCGCAGAAGCCAGCTTCAACACTCGCAATGAGTTCCTAGGCCACTCTGCTTACAGTTTCAACAATCAAACAATTATACTCTTTACACAAGTCCAGAAAGGGTGGGATCCAGGTAAACAGTTCTCATTGGTTACAACAGAAATAGACAATTCTAAATACATGCGTCAAAGAAACATAGTATCTACGTCCAGATATGGATGGCCTTAATGTGTGCGTCAAAGAAAGCCTTGTATCTGTCCCCAGATATGGATGGCGACCTGATGCCCTTCTTTTCCTCTGTATTGGACCTCCAGTCATAGGAAAAGATGGGGAGAGTGAGAGAGCAATCTCCATGACCTATGACCTGGTTTGTGTGTCTCCTGAAAACAAAGTTAAAATAGACAGGCAAAAAGAGAAACAAGGACACAGAACATTCTTGCAGTAAGCAGTTATAACTTATTCATTAGTTAAAATCAATTCACAGTTAAATACTGAGAAACAGGATGATGAAAAGGATAAACGTTGGTCCATGATGAGACGGATTGGAAAGCAGAAATCCGAATCCTTCAACTACAAGACAAGATTTCAGTTAATCTGATACTTTGAGGCCTAAATCTTAATTTTGAAATAAGACTTTAAGACTCCAATGTTTTGAACATTTATTGCACAATACATTGTTTCAAAGTCTTTAAAACCCAGGAATTTCACATGCTGGTGAATAGTTTTGCTTTTGTTTGTCGTTTCATCTGAAATGTTCGATTACGTTTGTATGTTTACTAATTCTGAAGTTGTAAACATTGTATCAGTTGAAACTGAACTTAATTGGTATTCTAATTGTATTTTAAAACACTAGTCTCAACTTTTACCAGAATTAAGAGAAGTGGAATAGTTCTGGACATGTCAATTTACGACCCCGCAGCCACCCTGTAGTTTCAAATACACATCGATGTTATGAAAGGAACCGTATAAATTGGAGAAATTAAATGACAATAACAGGTCACCGGAAGTTTATCAATGTAGGAACGCATTAAACTTATGTTAATAATGTTGATTAAATTGCTTTTTAAAGAGTAAGTGGGTGGCTCTTAAAAGAACCTTTTGAGTTATTGAAAAATCCGAACTTAATTATTTGCCTTTGGCGGCCTTCTCGGTCTTCTTGGGCAGCAGCACGGCCTGGATGTTGGGCAGCACGCCGCCCTGAGCGATGGTTACTCCGCCCAAAAGCTTGTTCAGCTCCTCGTCATTGCGCACCGCCAGCTGAAGGTGTCGGGGGATAATACGGGTCTTCTTGTTGTCCCGAGCGGCGTTTCCAGCCAACTCCAGGATCTCAGCGGTCAGATACTCGAGCACAGCGGCCAGATACACTGGAGCTCCAGCACCGACGCGTTGAGCGTAGTTGCCTTTGCGAAGAAGTCTGTGAACACGGCCGACTGGGAATTGCAGACCAGCCCTTGAGGAGCGAGTCTTAGCCTTAGCACGGGCTTTTCCTCCGGTCTTGCCTCTTCCACTCATGTTTGTTCAGTTGGTTCTCAAGAATCGACGAATATTTCTATCAGACGCGACAATCAGCTTTTAAAGCTAACGTACCTCTCGCCTATTGGTCAAAATCTGTCTCAGTTGAAAACCAATCACTGCACTTCCCTCCAAATCTCGCGCCCTTTTTGGAATTTTTTTTCTGCTTTTGTTTTGTAATATATAGACATTTATATAGACATATGGACTCATCTCTTAGCATCATAAAGGCTGCATCCAGATGCTATTTATTTTTTTGGCGTTGTTTTGTAATATCTAGATGTTTAAAAATATATAGGTTAGAATAAATGTATAGGCTTTACTCATTATGCAAAATATAAATAAAATTATTCTTAAAGCTGCAGCTATAAGCCTATGGCAAGAGGACTGGAATAGAGTCAAAAGGAGGACGTTTATTCAACATCATCATTATTGATATAACTATTGGCTCTGTATACTCCAGTCCTAATTGTTCCCCGGACATTAAAATAAAATGTGAACCAGATTGATAGAGTCATTTTGTGAAAGAACAGAAACCATTAAGCATGTTCTAATACACTGAAGCATGTGGAAGAGAGAAATCAGCTTGTTGGAAAACTAGAAGAGATCTGTCAAAGATGTATTTCAGAATACAGAGAAACAGTCAAAGGTGTGACATTTTCGTTTGAATTTGAGGAATACAGGATATGATTTTTTTTTAAATATGTATAAATTTTAACTTTACTGATTTGCGTTGGGACAATGTGAATGAATTGTGTGGAACCCTGCTTTCTACTATTGATTGGGATAATATTTTGGGAAAGTGTATCTGCGAAAAACAAAATTACCTAAAAATATCATAAATAAAATAAATTTAAGCTGACGAAAACAATATAACAAAAATAAATCAAATTAACGGCGTTTTACGCTTTTTGGTTGAGTCTGACCGTATTGGGCTACATAAATTTAACAATCAATGTAAAAAACAAACACTATATAAGTCTTGATAGTACAAATAATTATGTAGAGCAATTAAAAAAAGCAGTAAAAGTTGTGATTTTGATGAACGCTGAAGACTTGTAATCATTGCTTTTTATTTCTTTTTATTATTTTCTTCTTATTTCTTTTTTTTTTTTTTTTTTGTCAACTGTCTTATAAACAAATTTTAGTTTGGCTAGTAACATATGTAGATATTCTAACGTTAAAAATGTACTTTAACCAGCCTTGGCAGTCCATCGTTTCCTTTGAATAAATCATTATGGTGAGATGTATAGAAACTAACATTGCAACAAACTAAATCAAAATCTTGAAAAATGAAAGCTCTCTGTATATGAATATGTGGGTGGCTCTTAAAAGAGCCTTTGGATCATAGTTGACTCCGCGCTTTACTTGGAGCTGGTGTACTTAGTCACGGCCTTTGTGCCCTCAGACACGGCGTGTTTAGCCAGTTCCCCGGGCAGCAGCAGACGGACGGCGGTCTGGATCTCTCTCGATGTAATGGTGGAGCGCTTGTTGTAGTGAGCGAGACGGGAAGCTTCACCGGCGATACGTTCGAAGATATCGTTAACAAACGAGTTCATGATTCCCATCGCTTTTGAGGAGATTCCAGTGTCAGGATGGACCTGCTTCAACACTTTGTACACGTAGATTGCATAGCTCTCCTTCCTGGTCCTCTTGCGTTTCTTTCCTCCTTTGCCGGCGGTTTTGGTCACCGCCTTCTTAGAGCCTTTCTTGGGTGCAGTCTTTGCTGGTTCAGGCATGATGCTTATTGTACTCAATGAATGAAATGCTCGGAATTTTATGCACCAGGTATGCTAATTTAAAATAACTAAAACTGCGGTCCGTGATTGGTTTATTCACCGCTCTACCCATGGAATGACTTGGTTGGTCAGGTCAAGCAATCGATGACATGTAGGAGAGCAAATCAGAGGCTTTAAAACGTTGACTCCGCCCACGCGCTTGTGTTTGAGGTCATTTACCATAACCCCACAACAGTTTCTTGGTTTACTTTTACCAACAGCAGCGACAACGATTCTCAACAAAACTTTCTGTAGTGCATATTTATACATTTTGATAACGTTTGTTCTATAATCTAAGAAACCAAACTCAGAGTTTATAATAATCTGAACCACTTCTTTGCTAAATAGTCCGTGATTTCAAGCGCCAGTCACTTCATTGTTTTACTTTTGGTAATATTTTTCCCCGATGTAAGTTTATTATTGAAGCTATACTGTTAAGGACAGTTGAAACCAGGGGCGTTGCGAGGGGGCCTTTGGGGGCTTAAGCCCCTAATGGATTGTCAAAAGCCCCTGATTTTTTATAATATGTTGCACTTAAATAAAAATAGGTTGTATAACATTTATTTTGTTATCAAAGTTCTGACAATTAACACGTGTATATCACGCGTATTCTACCTAAAGCAGCGTTTGTGTCAGCAGTACCTGTTTCTACCGGCAGGTGGGAGTGGCTCTGTTGTCACATGGTTTAAAAATATTCCGCCACTGCACATCATTATTTTGAGCAGCTGAAGCTGATGAGGTAATAATACAACTGTTTCGCGAAACTGAATAGTTCTAGCTAAGTTACAGATGAAGCTTAATATTTGTTTTTACAGCAGAAAATGTGTGTAGTTTTGGTGAAATAACATAACTGTAGGTAATCAATAAAATGTGCTGCACATTAATGTAAATGAATTAGTCAGAAAAATGTAAACTGTACTTGCTTTCTAGACATGATATATATAAATATGTATATATATATATATATATATATATATATATATATATATATATATATATATATATATATATATATATATATATATACACATATTTATCTAGATATGATATAGCCAGTCACATCTGTTTCTGTAATAGTTAAATGACAGTGAGTTCATGTATCTAGCATATTATTTTATGGCTATATTCTACAGTAACATGCTATGTCAGTTAGCAGCGGATTATAAATCGACTTTCTTATGAAAATACCTAATGCCCCTGGGCCCCCGTTTATTTTTTTAACACATTTCTAAACATAATAGTTTTAATAACTCATCTCTAATAACTGATTTATTTTCTCTTTGCCATGATGACAGTAAGTAATACTTGACTAGACATTTTTAAAGAAACTTCTATACAGCTTAAAGTGACATTTAAAGGCGGTTAGGGTAATTTGGCAAGTCATTGTATAACGATAGTTTTTATGCTGACTATCGGAAAAAAATAGCTTAAAGGGGCTAATTTTTTTGACCCTTAAATGGTTTTTTAAAAGAAATATCAAACTGCTTTTATTCTAGCCTAAATAAATCAAATAAGACTTTCTCCAGAAGAAAAAGTATTATCAGACATACTGTGAAAATGTCCTTGCTCTGTTAAACATCATTTTGAAAATATTTAAAATAGGAAAACAACTTTTGTGAGGCATATATGGAATTTCTGCTCAAGTGTGAATGAAACAGGCAATACATGCATTTAAAGTGCTACAATGCCCACATCGACCTATTTTGAGGAAAACTAAAAACCTCCCTCTAAAGAAATTTGAAGTAAACACATTTCTAGCATTTAAATCTTTATTTTTTGTACTATTTTTGATACAATTGTTTTTTTAAAAAAGCCCATTGAATATCAATATTTTGCGAGGTATTGAATTTAGAAATTCCAGTATCTTGACAACACTACACCTCAGTTAATCACTCTGTCCAAATAAACATGTGTGTTGCTTTGTATCACATTGGATAACAACTTGGTCTATAAAATAAATCATATTTTCAGATTCGAAGACATGCAGAAATTTTAATTTTCAAAAAACAAACAGAAACTACAAATCAGGAGAGGAGATAGGAGGCTCAAGGGGAATAATATGGCTCATAACAGAATAGTAAATAAGAAGTGGGTAATTTATCAATTTTTTTCTTTTTTAGTGTTACAAGTCACAAAGCTTCACAATTTATTGTTATAGACTGTCAACTCAAAAACCCTTTATTTATCATTAAACCATCTTTAATCCTATTATTAAGATGAGTAGATCAACTTATGAAAGTGACTTTTTGGTTTGGGGGGGGGGGGGGGTCTTTGGGGCTAAGCCCCTTATTCCTTTCGACCCTAGCAACGCCCCTGGTTGAAACCGAATTTAGTTTGTATTCGAACTAGCTTCCTCGCCGTTGTCGCCACTGGCTTGTATGGTATGAGTTTTGTAGAACTGCGCATCGATAAATTGCTTTTCAGTGTTCTTATTCTCAGTAGTGTTTAAACCACACAAAACTGAGCTAAACCGAAAACTCAATTGACACGGTTTCAATGCAGTATATTTCATGTGAGGCTGCTTAAATTTTACAAATTCATTAATGCTATACAAATTATGGTGAATTAATCTAACGTCTTCATTTAGACTTTCTCCTAGTTAAATAGCTAGGCCAACGTTTTTTTAGAAATCATCTTTTAAAGAGAGATATGGGTGGCTCTTAAAAGAGCCTTTGAGTTTAGTGGTGCAGCAGTTTAAGCGCGCTCTCCGCGGATGCGGCGGGCCAGCTGGATGTCTTTGGGCATGATGGTGACTCTCTTGGCGTGGATGGCGCACAGATTTGTGTCCTCAAACAGACCCACCAGATAAGCCTCGCTGGCCTCCTGCAGGGCCATGACAGCGGAGCTCTGGAAACGTAGATCAGTCTTGAAATCTTGAGCGATTTCTCTCACCAGACGCTGGAAAGGTAGTTTGCGGATCAGCAGCTCAGTGGACTTCTGATAACGACGGATCTCTCTCAGAGCCACAGTTCCAGGTCTGTAACGGTGAGGCTTCTTGACGCCGCCGGTGGCCGGTGCGCTTTTACGTGCAGCTTTAGTGGCGAGCTGCTTCCTCGGAGCCTTTCCTCCGGTAGATTTACGGGCGGTTTGTTTGGTTCTTGCCATCGCTGCTACTTGTAGACAGTTCCAATTCTGTGAACGAATGTAACGTTTTGTAAACGTTGCCACGTATTTAAAGCAGGGCTGCCACGAGCTCATTGGACTGCGTGAATTCAAACGATTTGATTGGTTATTGTCTGCTTTAGCTCTACGACAGTTGACCAATGACTGTACGCCTTTGCTTTTTGAACCCGGGAGCCCGTTTGAAAGCTCCGGCCTAAATAAACATACAATATTTTAGCCTATTTATCATAAACGCCCTAAATATTTGCCATATGATCTTTCTCACTCATCATTAGATTGCGTTGGGCTTCTTTTCAAACTATGTACAGGGCGACTGAATTAAAGCATTACTTTTAAACTTATTAGCTTTATTATTTAATATTGTTTTGGATGTTTTAAATCCATTCAACATGTGAAGCAGTTTGTAAATGCGGTTGTAAATGTGCTTTAAAACTATCTTGGACAGGGATATTCAGAGCTTTATTAAAATACGCTTATATTACAAAAGAGTTGTTTTTAATATGTGTGGTATTAAACGTCTTACAAGTTTATTTGTACAAAACTTTAGTTGGGTTTATTAAATTACAAGCTCAACCTAACAGAAGTAGATCACTCTTTTAAGGGGGAAATGGGTGGCTCTTAAAAGAGCCTTTGGTTTTGAAACGATTTTCACCGTTTACTTCTTGGCTGCTTTCTCGGTTTTCTTGGGCAACAACACAGCCTGGATGTTGGGCAGTACACCGCCCTGAGCGATGGTCACTCCACCGAGAAGCTTGTTCAGCTCCTCATCATTGCGCACTGCCAGCTGAAGGTGTCTGGGGATGATACGGGTCTTCTTGTTGTCACGAGCGGCGTTTCCAGCCAACTCCAGGATCTCAGCGGTCAAATACTCGAGCACAGCGGCCAGATACACTGGAGCTCCAGCACCGACGCGTTCTGCATAGTTGCCTTTGCGAAGAAGTCTGTGAACACGGCCGACTGGGAATTGCAGACCAGCCCTGGAGGAGCGAGTCTTGGCCTTAGCGCGGGCTTTTCCTCCGGTTTTACCTCTTCCGCTCATTTTGTTTGATATACAGTCTCTCTGCAACGCACACTAACAGTGGCTCGAGTCTTGGTGATGTGCCTTTTAAAAGAAAGCATGCGAGGGTTCTATTGGCTGGAGGCTGAATATGTTACAAACCAATCAGCGACGTTCGCTTCGAACTGTAAGCCACACCTCTTTCCGTTGTAGACGGCCGTTAAAGGGACAGTTCACACACAAATGTAAATTCTGTCATTATTTAACTCGGTTGTTTTAAATTTGTTTGCGATTCTTTTTTCTGTTGAACACGCAAAAAATATTGTTTTATAACATGTAATATAGTGCTAATAGATGCAATATTAAGCCTATTTTTTATCACATTTAAATACAGTATTGGGTGAAAAAGGTTTTCCCAACTTCAGGTTAGTGATGGAAGTTCGGATCATTTTACTGACTCGGATCTTTGAGTCTCGTTCATTAAGATGAACGAATCTTTTTTCGAGTGATTTCGTTCATTTGGTTCAATTTGCCAAAATATTATTAAAATGTTACGAATTGCTTCCAAACACATCTACAACTAGCCCAAAAGGTTGATTGCACGACATATAAGTCATAAATAGAATATAAGAAGGAGAAAATGATAATTCAATGTTCACCTGCTCTTTTGTCTATGAAGGTATTGTTGTCTCTTTGCTCAGCTCACCTCTTCATGTCTTCAAATGTCAGGGGTTCATTCACGTTACACTGACAGTCACATATAATCTTAATCAATGCAGTCTAAGCCGATAGGAGCCTTGATCGTTCGTTCATCACGTGACAGAATGACTCAAACCCGAGGACTCGAGAGATGAACGGTTCAATTCTTTTTCCGGCTCTAAACGCATATGATTGGCCTGTGATGAACGAGTGACTTAGACCCGATAGAGGACTCGAGAGGTGAGCGGATCAATTCTTTTTCCGGCTTTAAACGCATATGATTGGCTTCTGCCATTGTGATGACTTGAAATTAACGATACTACCTGCACAAATGTGCTCACGCGCGGATGAACGAATCAGAGGACTCGATTGAGGACTCAAAATGAACGGATCATTCATGAACGACCCATCACTACTTCAGGTTGTTTTAAATAAACTACTTCACAAAATGATTATAGTTTTTGAAGCTTTTGTGAAACTCCACACAGCCATGGAGCGTAAGAAGTAACATTGAATGCAATACATTTTGTTCAAACCATGCTTTTGTATTATTTGATGTAAAGGTGTTTTAAAGTAAAATAATCACATCAGGAATGTCGAACTCCCGAATGTCAAACTTCCTGGAGGGCCGCAGCCCTGCACAGTTTAGTTCCAACCCTGCTTAAAGGGCCATGAAACTCTCCCTTTCAGCATGTTGTTTTCACACCTCTACTTTGGAAAAAGTCAGGAAAGTGGTTGTGTCCAGCTATGTTTTGGGGGGTGTCAGAAGAGGGAAGGTCCATAAAAATGGGAGTGTCGGTTTGGGCACGCGCTGATTTTCACAGAGGCAAAACAAACACACAGATGCAAGGCAGAAAGACAGTGACTGCCCTAGTAGCAAAAAATTCTGGCCCAGATTTGGCATAAAGCTGGCACAGCAGGCATTCATCCGGCATTGGCATACAGCATGTGGGCCAAACATGGCCCGGGTTTGGCAGAGGTGGCACCGTCTTTAAGGCGGCACACAAGATTTGGGCCAGATGAAAAACGTAGTATTTGGCCCAGATTTTAAAATTTGATAAGTGGGCCATTTGAGTTTGGCCAGTTTTGACCCACATTTAAAATACACTAAAATCCTTTTTGAGTAAAGAAAAAAAAAATCTACCAATCAGGTCACTTTGAGAAAAAGCGTGCCCATAGTGTGCCTAAAGCGCATCACTCCATGGGTTTATCAATTTCATTGCAATCGTGACACACCAACCTATCTGGCCCAGTTCAGGCCCAGTTATGAGTTATTAACTTGGCTGAGACTTGGCCCAGATATGGTCCATGTTTGGCCCTTGTCTGGAAGCCAGATTTGGTCCAGTCATGTACCGTAATTTACTGCGGCATGTGGGCCAAGCAAAACCTGATTGTGTGGGCCAGAGCTGGGCCAGAGAAATTTTGCTATGTGGGTGTGTTTACATGGACATCAGTAATTGAATTATTTGACAAATTATTAAATGGTGGACTTTAACTGCAGTTTGGCTCTTTCATTCAGGAATATCATTCATGCCCCTCGTGACAAACGAGATATTTGATTCGAGGAGCTGCTGGAAGCATGTATTTTTTCATGCAATGTTTGATATCGCACAACAAATGAGAGAAAAAAACCTCTGTAACATTCAGTAGCGTCAGAAAGCTGTGTGTTATTCCTATCACAAAATGCAACGAAAATCAACAATAATAGTTTGATTGCAGTGTTTAACGTTACATGTTTACACTCGGAGAGCAGCATTTACAGCAGATCTTTCAGTCCATAATATTGTAGTGATATTAACGTACTGTAAACTTAGTAACTTAGAAATAATTTACCACCATAATATTGTGTTTACCATAATAACCACACTGATGCACCAATCAACCAGTTTAGGCTGCTTTTAGCTGTTTTTTTAATTAGGACAGGGCGTTTCACACATTCTCAGCCTGTTGTTACGCCTTTTTTTGGTGGTTTTATTTACTGATCAGGTTAATAGATAGCATTTTTGCACTCACTTGCTCATTGTGTTATTCTGAGATATAGTCAGAATAGTGTTATTCTGAGAATGTTAAGGCATCACTGCCTTAATCTCCTCATTAAAACATGCTCTCACAGCGTTTATGTATTTAGCAGACACTTATTTTCTAAGGCGAGAAAAGCAGTGAGGGCTACTATCTGCGAAAGTGTCAGGCCTGTTTCCCACACCATGAAGCAGAACCATATGTCCTCAGTTCAGTAGCGCTTTAAAATATACACAATAACTGGTGCGTGATATTGTCTGTATTCATTTGCACATTGTAATTATTCAACAAATTCATAAATATTATTGTCTTCTGTTCGTTATTATTCAATTCAATTCAGCTTTATTTGTATAGCGCTTTCACAATGTAGATTGTGTCAAAGCAGCTTCACATAAATGGTCATAGTAACTGGAACAGTGTAGTTCAGTTTTAGTGTATAAGTTCAGTTCAGTTTAGCTCAGTTCAGTGTGATTTAATCATTACAATAATTACAATAATCATTATTATTGAATTGTTGTTTTTTTTTTTTTTTTTGCATTGTTGTACTGTACCACTATTACCGAAATACAGTTTTCTGTTTTGCATAGACATGAGGTATTCTTCTGCAATTAGACATTTAAACTATATGTATTTCTCTGAGTTTACATACAGTATACAGGTATTTGCAAAGCGCTTTGCTGTTCTCCCAATGAAAAACGAGCCATCCTTCAGGACTAGGCAGGGACATTTTGTTTAATTTGTGGCAAAAAAATGAAAGCGTACAGCCTTATTCAAAGTTATTTATTTGCTTCGATCATTGTGTTTTGCTGTGAAAATACCAAAAAAAAAAAAAATCTTGCAGAATTTTCCTTTTTTTAGCAGTGGGATTTTTGCGACAGATAAGTTAAAAAGTTTACTTCAGCATGTCTGTAGTTCAGTGTGGTATTTTGTTGTTTTAGGCTGCCTCTTTAAAGTGTTCCTATTTTACCCCTTTTACAATATGTATAAAAAGTCTTTAGTGTCTCAAGAATGTGTCTGTAAAGTTTCCACTCAAAATACCCATTAGATTATTTATTACACCCTGCTGAATATGAGAATTTTCAGAAGCAAGATTTAACGCCCATAAACCGGCACTCCTTGTTGTGTGTTTGTACTTAAGCGTCCTCGTATAGTTGTACTGACATCGGCTGTGGTGATTCCAGCGGTTATGAACTCCTAAGTATTTAACTGCCTTTATTACAAACATGCACTGTTTTAAAGACATATTAAACTTGTACATCTCATTCTTGAGCTACAGCTGATCACAGAGAGCTGAACAGATCTTTTAATCCTAGTTTCTTTGCAAATCCTGTTGTGTGGACATGTTTATACACGTTACTATGGCATACTACGGTCAATCAATTTACTGCGCAAGGAAAACCACACTCCTGTGGTACATTGCGGTGGGACTCAAAATCACTGGAATAAAGATCCTATTTTAACATCAGGAAATTTTAAAAGAGACTTGCTCTGCTTTTATAACCCCAATATGACTGCACACACACTATATCCACACACAGCTTCCAGAAGCTGATTTTGCAGGTGCCCTTTTTAAACATGTTCTGGTCTGTTCACTAGAATCAGCCCTGTCTGGCCAAACTCTAAAGAGTATTTGAAGCACTTTAGTGACTTTAAGAAGTACTTTATATGCTGAGATTAGCATAACAGAGATGAAACTAACTAACCTTTTCTGAATACCAGGTATACAGTAAGCACTATACACTCACCGGCCACTTTATTAGGTACACCTCAGTACTGGGTTGGACCCCCTTTTGCCTTCAGAACTGCCTTAATCCTGACATAGATAATCTAGTGACATAGTGACATAGATGAGCCTGTGCGGATTTTAGTTTCCTGTTCTTAGCTGACAGGACTGCTTCTGTAGCCCATCCACCTCAGGGTTGGACGTGTTGTGTGTTCAGATTTGCTCTTCTGCAGACCTCAGTTGTAGCGAGTGCTTATTTGAGTTACTGTTGCCTTTCTGTCAGCTAGAACCAGTCTGGCCATTCTCCTCTGACCTCTAGCATCAACAAGGCATTTCAGCCCACAGAACTGCCGCTCACTGGATATTATCTCTTTGTCGGACCATTCTCTGTAAACCCTAGAGATGGTTGTGCATGAAAATCCCAGTTGATCAGCAGTTTCTGAAATACTCAGCCCGTCTGGCACCAACAACCATGCCATGTTCAAGGTCACTTAAATCACCTTCCTTCCCCATTCTGATGCTCGGTTTAAACTGCAGAAAATCACCTTGACCATTTCTACATGCCTTAATGCATTGAGTTGCTGCAATGTAATTGACTGATTAGAAATGTGCGTTAACGAGCAGTTGGACAGGTGTACCTAATAAAGTGGCCAGTGAATGTATAGCAA